TCATTAATCCATTATAGCTGCTTAGGAACAAGTTGATTAAGTTTAGGGATTGTCTTGGTCTTAATAATATAATTTTAGTAAACTAACCAAATGTCAGAATGAGAAATAATCTAATTTGTGAAGTTATACACAGAATTTCTACGCTTTTGATATTTTCTCAGATTTAAAAATGGCTAGATGAGTTCTTGGATGAGTTTCTTGCATGTGTTTCATTACCCTAACTAGGTAACATCAGCAGTCATTAGCATTGGTGATGTTACCTAGATTGGGTAATGAAACGTCTGCAAGAAAACAAGCTCAGCACCAAAGACTCCTCATGTCAACCCTGAGGTACAAATATTCTCCTTTATTAATATGGCTAGATACCATTAAGCATATATAATTTCTTTCTTTTTGAAAATAATTGTACACCATGTCAAAAGCCTATAAAAAGAGCCTCAGTGTGATATAAATGTTAAATTCTTTTGGATCAGAACATCGGGTTTCAGATGAGCATTTTTATATTTCAGGTCCCCTGCTACACGATATTTAACATATTATCATTTGCTTATTGTGATAGGTGTTGCTGTGCTTATGAAAACAATAATTCTATAAGTGAGTCAACTCTCATAATAATCATTAAATAATTATGCTGATTTAAACTAATACAGTCCATGATTACTTGGCTCAGGGACATGCATTTGCCCCGATACTTTTGATAAATTAGAAATGTTCATGATTGGGGGTCTTTAGACCTGCAATTAGTGTCAATGGTATTTTGTTAGATTAGGATCAAGGAGACCCATAGTTATGAAGGTTCCAGTGGTGACTTGCATGCCATTCATTATCTTTCAGCCCAACCCGTTGCTTATAGTTGTTGCTAGGATAAATTGAATGACCATATACTACCCTATCATGCTGGAAAGGATGTCTATAAATCTACCAATGAAATAAATGCCTTCATTTATTTCTTCATCAGTTGGGCCAAATATTTACACTGTTTTGTCTCTTTTGCATGCAGCATTTGTTACTTTTGTCGCCTCTTCTGGAAATGGGATGATGGTAAAATGCACGACTCTCAGAAAAAAGAAGATTCAGAGAAACTATCGAAAGAAACTGTTCTATCCTTCATCAGACAACATTTCACCCTGTGATTACTGTCTCATCACATTTTAGGGTTTGGGGAATGACCCAGGTATGGAATAGTCAGCAGGGAGCTATGGAGAAAAACACTTTTCAGAGTGGTTCGTTTGGATGATAAGGACTCAGTCCAAGAGAAATAGAAGAAAGCTTTGGATTGGAAACCATGCAGTATATAAGGACCTGCTTCCTGGCCACATTAAGACTTAAGCAGTGCACGTTCTTCTGAATGGATCATCACTGGATCTTCTAGGGCTTCCCTCCCCCGGACATCTGAGCTCTACTAGTAGGCAACAAAAGAAGAGGATGCACTGAACACGTGGCATTTTGTAAAATGGAAGGCCAGACAACTTTTGACAAAACTATTTAAAGGAGAACAGAAAAATGAATATAGTAATCTTTCTTGTTCCTTTCTCTGTGAATCCACTGGGAAGCATACTTGGTTTTTGTAATTTGGCTTGTAGATGCAGCCTAGAGATTTTTGAGAGTTCAGGTCTAAGCAGGAAGGCAACAGACAGGTAGAGTTTTTGAATTAGTAATTTAGGTATACTTGCTGTCAACATAACTCGTGACTCTCATCGAAGTTGGATTTTCATGCTTCTATGCAAGTAAATATATTACGCTTTTTCTCACTCTCCACCTTCAAATATGGCAGTCCAAGTATTTTCCTCTCTGAATTCTATACCCAGTACTTTCCCTTCAGAAAGTAGATTTGCAATGTAGAGAATTGGCTTTAGAGGAACTATATAAATTAGATCCACTGAAAAAGCTGCATACTTCTAAAGAGAGCATCTTTTGGCCTTCAGAAACTTAAAACTGAACCGTTGCACACATTGGCAGGAAGATATTGACTTTGTAATTGAGTGAGCAGTGCCTGGGTTGTGTCTTAAAAGAAACGTGACTGTCCTGTAAGTGAAGGCATCAGCCAAGTCTCAGCTCCTAAAGAAAATGATCAAAAATGGATTTGATGTGGGAAAGTTTCTCCATAGATTTTCTCCATTAAAGTTGACTAGCACAGGAGACATTTTAAATTCTACACACTGTAGAGATGGACAAAATATGTGAATTCAAGATGTTTTGAAATTGAAAGAATTGTTCTGTTTAGAATGGTTGTTCTTACTAGAACTGTTCAAGTCTCAAAACGAATTTTGCTTCAAGTTTGAAATAGTTTTATGCTTATAATGGGATGTTACAGAACACTTTTAGAATGTTTGAAACCAGTTTTGAACTCACAATATTTTGAATTCAGAATGTTTGCACACTGCCAGTAAATCTTAATCTTAGCTAAAATAAATAGTTCTAGCTTTCAGAGACACTTCAAGAATAGTATAGGTTAATACTGCACTTTAGCAATAGCAGTTAGGTAGTTAAATTTCCACCATCTCATGCCATCTTATTTCTAGATTCCTGTATTGAAAAAAATATCAGGAAGAATGGAAATTTAAAACTCCCGATTTCTCTCAAAGGCTGAAGTATACAAAAGCACTTAATATTGGAGATTCAGTTCTGAGATTTGCTAAATCTTTTTGAGAATTCCAAAACAAAGATTTAGCTTTTAAGATTCTTTTGGGAAGAATGGGCCATGTTTCAAAACAAATTGCCTTCCCATACAATTGTTTGCCTCAGCAGACTAGAGGGTAAAACAGCAAATTGAGTGTTTATTTGCAATAGGAAATGACAACGATTAAATAATCTCTGACATCTACAGTTCAGTGTTGGTTTTAAAATAATTTGATGACTTTGTCACTTTTTCCCTAACTATCATGATGCAACTAGTAGGTCAGAGTCATTTTGTTTTAAATACAACATGTTATCAATTTTTCAGGTTATATTTCTAGTTAAGCTTTTTGCAAGTTATAATATTTCAGAAGGAAGATTTCATTGCAAGATTGATTTTAGTTTGTTATTAAAGAGTGATTGGTAGATTAGTTTGTATATGGAGTCTCAGTGGTACACAGATTATCTGCCTTCACTTTATTCACTTTGGCTGTAACTAGAGGCCCTGGTTTGTGGCCTTCTCCTAGGAAAACTATTTAAGGGATTTAAAAATCTTACAAGAGTGTGTGCCTAGAAACCTTAAAACAAAATTTATACCAGTCCTGAAAAATGACTTCATGTTGATTCAGAGCCCAAATGTCCAGAATACAAAGAGAAAATTAGAAAGATTTGATCAGTGGATAATTCAACTTGTTCTTGTTTGTTCTCTTACTGGTCTGTGAAAGGTTTAGGTGAGGGGAAGGAGGTAAAAATGTCTTGCTGAAAGAAATGTTTACAGTGTGTATTCTCTGAACTCATGTATCAGTTGTGATGATTTCTTGTCCGTTCTTTGCATTGCCAATACAATCCTTATAATTTAGAAATGTGTTTTCTTTTTGGCTTAAACATTCCAGCTCTGTGATACATCCTGGGCTGAGGAAGAACAGGTTTTGGCACCACTTGACTCTGGAGCTCACTGAGTGACTTTACGTCTGCCACTGTTTTAGCCCAACCTGCTTCATAGGGTAGATCTGGGGATAACATTAGGAAACAGAAAAACTGTTTTAAAAGCTTAAATTTGGGGCAAAAAATATGTGTTTCCCTTATAGAACCAAAACCACATCAGAAAATAAGGCAGCTTCTGTGTAACATCACTAGAGTATTTCAATCTGTAGTAGTCAAATTTTAGGAAATGCAGTTGATAGAAGACTATAGAAAATAGGCCATTTTCTATTTGCAATATATAAATACATCAACATAGTTTTCCTATCTATAATTTGTAGAGTGATTGCAGAAAAGAGACATATTCGTGAATTGTCCCAAAGGGGACTGTTTTCTTACAAAATTAGAACATTTTTATTTTTATTTTTGTGGACAATCGGAGTATACAGTTGGAATATACAGAGATTTGAAATAAATGCCCACTGCACTACGAGCAAAGCAGCTCTCCTCAAAGCTTTGAATTACCACGTCCTTCGGAAGCCTCACATGACTCCTTAAAAGTTATCTGAAGGTCTGTTTATGCACAGCCACTTGGGCCTGCATGCAGAATAATTGAAGAGTAGGGCAGCTTTTTTAGCACTTCAAGCATGGACAGACTTTCTGAAATAGTTATTTTGCTTTGTGCAACTCTTTTGATATTTAAGTAAACCTTTTGGATTTTATCTTCAAAATGCTTGATTACATTGTTAGGGAGGCTGCTTGAAGAGTGATAGTTAACTTTGATGAATTGATGACTCTTTAAAGCTGTGGTATCTTTTTAAGGTTTAAACAGAAGATTGAAAAATAGGCTGCTTTAATATACAGAGAAGGGCTCAGATCATGTCAAGTCTGAAGCACTTTTTTCAAGTCATTTCTAAAATGTGCAGTCCTAACATTTAAATTATGTTAAAGAAAAAGGATTTAAACACACACATAGGCAATTTATTTATTTGCAAGGAAGTAAGAACAGAATTTGTTTTCTTACTGAAAACAGCAAAGTTCAAAGGTGATTTATATATGTTTCTTGGATAGAGAGATGTAACTGAATCACAGACACAAAAGGAGGGAGCCATGGTTATATTGCCAAAGCAGAAAACAAAAGGAGCGAGGTTTGAGCGCATTTTTGAAGCAGAAACTAAAAGGAGTGTATTTCCAAAGCAAAACAAAGCAGCTTGACAGCATTAGAATGCCTTCTTCCTTGAACAACTGAGGTGCTAATAGGTACTGCTAATAGGTACTGAACTTGAGGCATAGTTGCAGTCAGGAAAATGTCAAGTCAATTAACTGTAGCATGGTGAAAAACTTAAAAGTCAAGAAAGGAAGGAAAATTACAAAGCATTCCTGATAAAGAATTGATGGGAGACCTGACCGGGGAGAATGGAAAGGAAAAAAGGGGTTTTTTTTGTAAAAAGGGAAGCACATATATTGTTAAATTTCTGCATTTTATTTCAGTCCAAAATGCAAATACTAATAATCACTTGGATTGATGGTATAGGCAAAGTTATATAGTAACTTCTTCCCTTAAAAAATTAATACAGTTTGATAAAAGTACTCAACTGGCTCACAAAATACAATTAGTAGTCAGCTGGCTTACAAAACGATGTGAATTAAAAACATTTTTAACATGACTAAAGACTTAATGAAAGACATAGAAGCCTCTATAAAGATATATTGCCTGCCATTAAAAAAAATACAGTAGCCCCAGCTCAGTCTCTGAAGGCTATTCTACAATCAGGGTGCAACTAACCTGCCCCCCATAATCCCGTTCCCTAGCCATCAGCTGGAAGGTCCAACTCAGCCCGCCCTTTGTCCTTGGTTAATTTTCTATTGAAGTTCTTTGTGAGGACTATCCTAAGATGGTCCAAGTTGCAGAGCATGTTGGTATGGAAAGCTGATCTTACCCTTGGCACAAATTTGGGAAGGGAGGTAGAATCATCACGGTCTATAGTAATTAGATTTCAGCACCTAAATGTTACATGGTCCAGCAGGTGTAAATAACAAACACTAAGAGTATGATGGCTGCTGAAAGCGCTACAGTCTTCCGATTCTCATGACGAAGCATTTTGAGTTCTTTCTCTGGGGGGGGAAAAAAAGTAGCACATTGTAAAGATATTACAGACTTCTCAAAATAAAATGTAATTTGTTTCAAATATTAAGGTTCTCTGTCTTAAGCCTTTTGCAGTATTACTAAACTGGATAACATTAGGATTTTAGGTGTTAAGCTCCATATAGCAGGACAATAAAAGAGGCATGATTTTGGGGGGAGAGAGAAAGTTACCGCATCCGCTGCAGTTGTAGAACTTGGAGAACAAAGGCCATTTAAACATTTCTTAAGTAACAAGTTTCACTTGTCTTTGGAGTATCATTAATGTTCTATTCTTTCTCCATATTATAATTTCCTATTATAGTTTTCTTTTTCTGTCATGTATTCTGCACATGGGTAAATTTTCCATGGCACTTGACTTATAACAACATGAATAGGGCTCAGCATGAAACCTAGAGTCTTATTCTAAATATTGTGAGCTTTTAGTTTATTATATACTGTGTGTCTGACTGGTATCTTACATACTGCTCTCAAAAGATGAACAAGGTTAATCAACTGTATTTCATGAAAGGAAATCTCAAGATGTTCAGAGTATCTTTATATAATTAAAGCTGGAATACTGACAATACATTTAGCTTGTGGCTTCTGCTTAATGCTTTTAAGATTAAGTAGAGAACAGAGTTTTTTAAAAATAAAATAAAATGTATTTTAATTTAAGCCATTACATGATTTAAAAAAGACGATTGATGGTAGGATTACTCTGATTTACACAGAATATGTCTTTACATATTCACAGGGTTGAAATTTCAAACGGTTAAAATGTATTTTTTAGGGCAGCAACTTAGGGGATAGGAGTAGAATAACAAATGATTAAGGTGCCCACCCCCCCTCAAATTTAAAGCATTTAAACCTTTGAGCAAAGCGTTTTAGGGTTACCAATAGAATGGCACGAAACACCTAAAGACTTAACAATTAAACATGATTTTTGACCTCATTCCTACATCAGCATTTTACCTACTTATATGCCACAAAATATCTTGAGTAGGAAGAAAAAAGTTACTTCAAAAGGAATTATTGTAGGGAGGTGGTTGATTGAATTGTGCAGGCTGATCTATATAATCTCGGTTATGAGGGCTTGCCACAGGGGTAAAAGAAATCCCACTTTATAGTAATGGTGCTAGATTCCATTCTGTATATTCAGAGTTCCTCAGAGGAAGGGTGACATACAAATGTAATAAAAAAGCTACTTTAAAATGAAGTCAAAGGCTATTCTACTTCTGCACTATATCGTTTTCATATATCTATTTTCTGCTGTTATATAGCAATCAAGCCCATTCAGAGCCCATTTCAGTGCTTTTGTAATTTCTGGGAGAGGTCAGAGTTTGGGGATGGCTTATTTGACAACAGAATCATTGTTACTGACTGCACTGGCAGAAGAGGTCAGTGCGGTTCAACCTGGGACTGCCAGAGGAGTATGATTTTAATGGGAAGTCTTGGGTGTTAATATAACAGCTCAGGCAGATGTCCCTTTGTATTTGCCAGCTCCTTAAGGGAGGTAGCTTTAGTGAGAGGAGCTCAGTGCATTAAAACATGGGCAAAAGGTCTCTAGCCCTTGGCTGAATGGCAGCTCCAGATTTATTCTGGGATGCTTTCTCCTTGTTCTCCAAAGCTTTTGAATGCTGACTCTTTCACAATGTAGTATTGATTGTGGGCATGAAAATACTGCAAATTAATTGTTAGGGGGGAAAAACCCAATCCCGAACCATACCTAGGTGATATTGCAGCAAGGAGGTTATTAATTTTCTTTGTGTGTTTTTTTAAAAAGCCTTCATACAGTATATATTTACTATTAATTGGGTAGCTTCAGCATGGACCAGGGCTATTTGCCTTCCTAAGTAGTCAGTTCCACAGATGAGCAAAAAGAGACAAAGTTACCTATAAAACAAGCAGTGCAAAGAAAGCAAAGGAAAGCATAGGAAAGATTAAATATTTATTTTGGAAATTTACAGAAATCCAAGGAAGCTTTTATTTAATATGGGCATGATAAAAAACAAAGATCACAAAATTGTACTGTAAATGAATTTAGAACCATGAATATGTGGAACAATAGTAAAAAAGATTTTAAAAAGTACAGTTCAACTACTGTTATTTAGAAAATCTTGAATGTAAAGTTAATTGGGCCCTAGAAAATAATTGCTAACGACCATTACCATGTAGTTGTCTAAAATCATACACAAGATGAGGCAGACAAAATGCCCCATATTTTGTAATTCAGATTTTTAATCACTAATGAATTTTCATGGAGACTACAGACATTTACAAATATGGATGCTATTTTCAGATTATAAAATGTAATCTTATGTATTGAAAAAGATTTTCAAATACAGAACGTGAAAAATATAGTGAAATTTTCAATATTCCAGCAGGTGGCAGTGCAACCTAAATAGCCAAGGAGAGATTGTAGGAAAACACAATTATCCATTAGGACCTTTCCATACAGCAAAGAATAGCAAGAATTAAGGCAGTATTTACTCTGTCAAAGGTACTAGCCCAGAGCTGCATCTATGGAGGAGCAAAACAACAAAACAAAACAATAGGTCTGGAAACTAATTTGCTGCTTCTGATCTTTTTTTATTTTTTTAAACACACTCATTTTTCTTTGCCTAATTTTCAATACTTGGGTCACTGGGAAAATGCAGCTGTTGCTCAATTAGCAATGCATTTTACAATTAAATTTGCTGATTTACCATGATAAACATCTGACCAATACAGTCTGTGTGCTCGTGTGTGTATACACGAACACAAGTTAAAAAATGGCTGAACCTTTCGAGTATTCTTTCCAGCTGTAGGCAATGTTAACTAGTCTGTGCCCTTCTGAAATGCAAAAAAAAAGAAAAACCAATTCCTGGCATGATGACGCCTTGTGTCAGCGCTCTTCCCCGCAAATGCCTTTGAACTGAATTCTGGACTCCAATGCTGTTCTTTGATAATTTCCTGCTACAGAGAAACACTTTGGAAGAAGGGAGATATTTTGATTCTTCACAGCAACTACTGACTGTGAATTCCTTTGCAGGAGTTCTGAGACTTTTCAGTTTCTTCCCAATTAGGCTGTATTGACTTTATCTTTGTACTGCTTGCTGCTGTCGCAGCCAATTACTCAACTCTGTCTCCAATCACCTTTTGATCCTAAGATATTGTGCTCCTTTCTGGGGCAGGAGATTTTAAGATACAGTCTTGATACAAACTAAAGTTTTAGTTTAGCCAGGTGCTGGGAACCTACAGCCCTCCTGAATGCAACTGAAGTAGAGCTCTCAAGCAATGCCATACAGCGTGCCAATGATGAGGAATGCACTAAATTACATTTACCCATCTGGGGATCCACAACCTGTAAAAGATAGCTCCTCTTCAACCAAAAAGATTTACCCTAATGACTTCTTTTCTATCCGGAGTCTCCACAAATGAAAACATGAACACAATTTTTGAAGAGTCGTGCCCTTATTTTATCAGAAGACTATTCTAGTTATGCTTTTTAATGTTTTATGCAGAACCTAACGTAAGCGCCACAGGGCATCCTGTCACCACAGGGCATCCAGAATTGGGAAGACTCATCACTGCTTCTATTTATAGTTCTTTATGCTGGACAAATCAAAGGTGACAGAAGTGTATCCTGTACAAACCAGATATCACTAAACAACCATTTTTCCTTTCGTTGAACAAAAGGAGTGCCAAGATATGATAAGACTATTTTGTACTCTCTTTAGTATAAAGAAGACCTAATGCAGGATTTCTTTGCAGTGAACATAATTTAGCTTCTGAAGATAGTCTTTCTCAAGATAGGTTAATGTCCTTAACTTGTAGAAAGCTTTATTAAAATCAACAATTCTCTTCAGTTGTATTTTTAGAGCACATGTACTTATTTCTGATATGGAACTAAAATCACTTCACTACAGAAGAGGTCACGTACATCTGGTGGCACATATTATTTCAGATATTGAAGTGTCAAATTAAATTTGTCCTGCACAACTACTCAGAAATGCATTTTAAGTCTGCCCTGGAGCAGTGTAAAAAAAAAAAGGAAGAACCAAATAAACGAGACAGATAAAAAGCACCTGTTTCAAATATCATAATACTTAAAATCCAAGTATCTAAGTACCATTTAATTTCAGTAGCTTGGTCATTTTCAAATCTATAGTAGGAGGGTTTATACCTGTTCAGACAGCTTTAAGAAGTATTGGAAAGTGCTTGGCCCATTTGTTCATGTAGCACTTTGTTAGGTATATAGGTGGAGATGAGGGGTCTTTTCTCTGCTATAGCTGGTGTGCCAGTTCTTTCTGGAGCATGAGGCACAGGCAGGCAATATCTGGAGGCTATTATCACCTCTACAGTTTAATGCTGCCTGGAGCTGCTTTTGAAGGCCACCTGGAAGCTGTAATTAATGCAAAATGCAAGTCCCACATGCTGCTGGATGACAGCCTTCGGTGCTGCATACAGAAGCATTGAGGTTTTGTGGGCACTGCAATGGCTCCAATGTGCTTCAAAGTATTGGTTTTAAACCCTGCGGATCTTTCTGGCTTAGCACCTGCAGGGCCTTCAGATATATTTGTCTTGAGCTGGGATATTGAGGGCCCTCTCTCCTCCCCATGAGATGTGGGGAGGGCAAGAGCATGGTGTTTATCAGTATTCCATTCCTATTAAACACTCTATCCATAGAGACACTGATGGCATTCTTTCTGATTATATTTAAAAGCACAGTCAAAACGGTCTATATGGAGATATTTTAATAAGTAATTTTAAGTGATATTACTGAGGATTTTCAAACAAATGGTGATTATTTGTTGGAATACTGGGACAGATTTTGTATCTTGTTTTTTGTGATTATAAATTGTGTGTGTATTCTTGTAAGCCTTTGAAAGTCCATAGAGACTCACTAGTATACAAATAAGAACAGATGATCTTCAATTCTGCTACTGGGACACAAAACATAGTGTTTTCTCTTTAAATAAATCCAAATGAGAAAGAAATCGCTTCACGTCTCAATCTTAGTAGTCCTGAGAAGTCAATTTTCTAAATTAGGAGATATGCATTTTATTTATATTTATTTAAATTATTAGTTTTGTACATTGCTCTGGATAGAAAGACAATCAAATTTAAAATGTAATAAAGCCATTTTTAAACAACATTGATGCTCCTGACTTTTAACACTTATAATGGCTCATTGTAAATAAAACAGACTTACACTCTGCCTAAATTAAAATGAGCTTGAATTTCTTGGCAAGGGAGTCTCATAGGTGGAGCAATGCTGTAGAAAAGGTTCTAGATCACAGTATCAAACTTGATCGTGTCACGTGACATATTGTGACTTTTTTTGCCCTTGCAGAGCCAGGGTGGGCGTGGCCTGCGCAAGACGCATCTTGCCTGCGGGCCGCCAGTTTGACAGGCCTTTCCTAAATCAAGAATCTACTCTTAATGTTGGGACACACAGCATGGCCAGTGAATATCAGAGGTTACGTAGGTATTTCAGTTACAGTAACTTAAAACAGTTGTTTTCTGCGAGAACAGGCAGAAACCACAAACTGTCTTCTCTCACTTCTTCACTGACTTGTGCTATATATGCTGACAAACCTCCTTATCTGCCTCTGCACCTACGAATTAAATGGAGGGACCTCTTGAACCTTCCAAATGTGTAAAAAAAACCATTTTAATGGTCTCTTCTGCACCTTTCTGGATTGTAGTTTTTATTTACTTGCCGTTCTTTTTTGAAAAATTAGCTACACAGAAGTGTAGCCAGTCAGATATATGACCACTGTCACAAAGTGTGAGGTTTCTAATGGATCAAGGAATTTGTAAACTGTTCAAAACACATTTATACTACTACTATTAAAAAACCTCTGTTTCTATCTCAGGCAACTTTGAATGATTTTTTTAAGTTTCAGAAGAAATTACCTTAATGACTTGGTATCCTCCAGTAATTCTTGGCTAGGAATTCTGGTGGGTGACATCCATGCTATCTGAAGAACACCATAATATGAAAACTTACTGCATACATGTCTTACCATAAATTTCGGCCTTGGTTTCTAGCATGTTTTTTTCTTTTTCCAGTGATTCTCTGCAAGGAAATGGGAAAGACAGATACTTATTAAAAAAATAAAGGTTTCTGGGCCCACAAAGATCTAGTTAGCTTCTATAATGGCAGACGAGATGACAACCTACTTATATTACTTCAGTTTTCTGGAAGATGGTCATATGAACATCATAAGTGTTCCTCTGAACATGCCTGCATTTTGCTATGTTAATTTTCCTGCACACATTTTTTTTTTAAAATAAGTCTTATGATTCCTTCTCTGATTTGGAAGTGACATAATTGACTTGTGAATTGTTAAAGTATGTGCTATATGTAACAATTAAACTCTAGTTTGTTCATCTCCTTAAAAGAGTTTTTACAAAGCCATGGAAATGGGACAATGAAATTCTCTTAAAGAAAAAAAATGGTCCTGTTCTCTCATTTTTAAACTCTTGGCTGCTTTTACAACATGTAAAATTAAACTTGTAATTTTTGTGCATGTTAGTGAGATGCTACACATATTTTAATTTTGCTTCATTTTTATAAAACTTGTAGCTAAGTAAAAAAATTCAATTTCAAAAAAAGAAGGAATAAATCTTTATATTGTTATCAGAAAATTAATCCATAGTTTAAAGTATGAGAACAAAACAAACATCTGAAAATAGTATCTCTAGCAACAGTTCCATTACAATACAGAAAACACATTATAACACAGAAAACATAGCAGCACTGGTGTAGTTGGAAATAAATATACACTAGCTATTTGTTTGCCAGTTCCAAATAAGCTCTCTAGTATAGTTAGGAAAGGCAGTAAGCACAATAAAGTTTGTCCCTAGAGAATAAAACAAGAGCCAGAGTGAAAATGGTGCCCAACTAGATTACAGAGTGAATTAGGGGCAGAGTGCAGGATAAAGTTATATTGGAAAAGCAAAAGCAGGGCTCTTAGAAGTGAAGCTCAAGAAACAAAGCAGACAAATTCAGACAATTCTAGAATTACTAAGTGTCTAATATATATATATATAAATCTTAAGATGAAAAGTAATTTGAGAATTAGAATGAACCCCAATTTTGTAATCCATATGCCTTCTAAAGTGGGTGTCATAGGAGGATTAAATTACTTGTGATGGCTGTGACTGTTTTCAGTATCACCAAATGTCCCTGAATAAAATTGTTGAGGAAGACTAATTCTGTAACTTTCCCACAATCAGGAAAGCGGAGATCAGAATAAAGCCTTTAGTCCAATCCCACATAATATTTCATCATGGTGCAGCTACCTCTCAATGTTTGCTACTGCCAAAAGCCATCATCTATTCTGAGATCTGAATGATAATGGGCAATTTCATCCTGTCACATCCTTTAATGTCAATACTTTGTGGAGAGGAAGCCCACAGTGCCAGCAGCTGTTTCCTTGCCCTAATATAAGAAATGACACCAGAAAGTGACTCTGAGGTGACAAGATGCTACTGGTACAATAAAAAGCCAGGGAATAACTACGAACAGAATAGCTTCTGCTTGGACTGACAGGACTTTAAATCTCTAAAATTACTGAGGACCAATTAATTTACTTTTATTGCTTTTCTTCTTTAAAAGTAGCACAAACTTAATGAAGCATTTGTTCAGTTTGGGGCACTTTAGGACAGATATATTGTAAATAAATTGGCACAGGTTCAGGGGAAGGTAATAGACATGGTAAAAAAATTATGCCTAAATAGAAAAGGAGTAATTGGGCTTGTTTATTTAGGTGAATAGGAACCTCAATAAGCAATCTCTAGACACCTTATATGGAGGAAAGGAAAATTGTTTTCTGCTGATTTAGAAGGCAAAATTATGCCTAGTGGGCTTTAAGGTATAGGAAGGTTAATTTGGGGGGAATGTCAGGGGAATTTTTATACAAATAAAATATTTTTGAAAAGGAAAAATATATGTCAGGGAAGTTCTAGCTTTGGATTATTTCCCTTTAACTCTATGGTTTATGTAACATAATCAAGTTTTATTACACTTAGAGGAAATGAAGTGCTGCAAAATTTGAAATTCTAGGCAGCTGAAGGGCAGAAGCCATTTTAAATGACTTCCAAGTATTAATGGGAAGAAAACATCTCTGCAGCAGAAAGATGGTTCCAAAGGGAATTGTGAGGAAAAAAGTAGCATGGCTGAAAGTGCTCCTCTGCATTGGAAAGAGCAGTACTAAAGTAGCCCACTCCTGACCTTCCCAAAGCTGAATTGTGCTAATTTCTCCCCCCCTCCTCATACCCCTCAGGAGAAAAAGATGTCAGTATTATTATGTCCTGGCTTTTCCAGAAAGCCAAATGAAGGAGCTTTGCTGGTGAACTAACTGGCAAAAGCCCATTCACAGGCATTCATTAACTGTATCTCAGCCAGCTAACTGGCCACATCCAGGTCTTCTGACAGGCATAACAGCATACACAGCTGGCTGGTTTAATTATACCTCAGCTTTTTCAAGAATAGACTGACGTCCCTAATCAACAAGGTTACTTCCATCTTGCCCCACCTATACCTTCAGCACAGAAAAAGGAAAGATAACCTACAGATTATATGGGTCAGAGGGACAACAGAAGGAAGGATGGCAATGGGATAAGGAACTGGGAAGCAACATCTGGGCAACTTCAGCAACACCAAGCGATAACTGACATCCAGCTGCATAGGACCAACAGCCACAATAAGATCCCAACTTAGAGCTTAGTCTGGCAGTGCAGCTCGATGCTCTGCTCTCAGTTTGGTCCCAAGCTTGGCAACAACTTTGCTCTGCAGCTTGATATACTCAAGGAACAACCAAGCTGAAGCTGCACAAAATCTCCAGTGTGTGCAAAAATTGTAGCGGGAGACAAAGATTGTATCCCATTTTAACCTATGAGAAGGTACAAAGGCAGAGTACATTAAGATCTGGTTATCAGCTCATTAGAATTTGGAGGGCAAAGTGAACAGTATACAGCCAGAGTAGAAATCTTGCATTGGGAATTGACTGTATTGACTGTTTCGTAGTATGATTTGATTGCTTATTTGTACCCTATGACTATATTAAATGTATCTTATGATTCTTGACGAATGTATCTTTTCTTTTTATGTACACTGAGAGCATATGCACCAAGACAAATTCCTTGTGTGCCTAATCACACTTGGCCAATAAAGAATTCATTCATTCATTGGGAATATGCACCAAGACAAATTCCTTGTGTGTCTAATCACACTTGGCCAATAAAGAATTCATTCATTCATTGGGAATGTGTGGAGTATAATACAATGTTGTGTAAACCTGTGAAGTCTCCAGTCATAACAAAATCAATCTCCACAGAAACATTTAAACGACCTATCAGAAATTCAAAGTATAAAGCAACATTTCCCAATAAAGAGGATTCAATGAAGTATTTCTGCCTCTTTCTCTATATTCAATATACTCATTTTAAAAAGAAATGAGAAGCTCATTTTTATCTCTGCTTGATCCAGAAAAGCACACAATAATCAAACCAATATATTGCAAGACCCACAGATACAAGCAGTTAGAAGACACCCAAGACAAGTTCTACTAGGTAGTACCTTCGTGCAGATGTTAGTTCTTCTCTGCGTAGCTTAAAATCCACCTCTTCCAAGGCTTGCCTGCAAAGCGTCAACTTGTCTTCTAGGCTCTCTACCTAAAATACATTCAACAAGCAGGAATGACAAGGTGTTTATTTCACTGATGTCCATTCTATTAAGCAGCAACACTTGACCAGAGAGTGACCTTCAAATTTTCTGGGCAAAACAGACAAAGCCTCTGGATTGAAACCATCATCCTTACCAATAAGGCAGAGAACATTGAGTGAGCCCGTAACTTTCTGTTCTACCACCTCTATGTCAAAGTGCACTTCCCATGTTTATTATTAAGTTGATTCATTCGTGTGGGGTAATTTTATTAAAATTAAAAATTCTGTGAAACATTCCAGAGATATAACATCTGATTTTCACAGATGGGGAAATGTGACAGAAACAAACAAAAATACTGGTTATAGGTAGTCCTTGCAACCATTTGTTTAATTACTGTTTGAAGTTACGACAGCTCTCAAAAAAGTGATGTACAACCATTCCTCGCACTTATGACCATCACAGCATCCCCATGATAATGTGATCAAAGTTTGTGGGCTTGGCAACCAGCATGTATTTGACAGTTGCAGCATCCTGTAGTCATGTGATTGTCATTTGTGACCTTCCCAGGTCTGACAAGCAAATGCAACGGGGTAGCCAGATTTGCTTAACGATCACAAGATTGACTTAACAGCAGTGATCTGCTTAACCATGGCAAAAAGGTCATAAAATTGGGCATGGCTCATTTAACAACCACTTCACTTAGCAACAAGAAATTCTGGTCTCAAATGGTCATAATGGAAGACTTGGCAGTGTTTAAATAAGTTCAATTGGTTTTCTAGTGGAACTCCACTATGACTGCAAAGTCAGATTGGGATCAATCCAGCATCAATGTTATGATTTCAACCCCTGAAATTAAACATTCCAAGAGTCACTGACTGAAATTAAATTTGGGACAAATTTCAAATAGAATTAAGCTGGGGTTAACATTAAACTGTCCAGTTCTCCAGCTTTAGTTTTATATACCAGCAACCGAATACATTTCTTCTTCTGACTAAATTATCAGGTAATTCAAGTTTGAGCATTGGATGCCTCTCCAGTAATTGTTTAGTCCAATTCTTCATGAATAATAAGCTATTTGATCAGAAATTTATGGAAATTGTGAATCAAAAAATATAGAAATTGGGCATATAAATCAAGCAAGGTCACACATTACTAGTTTTAAGTAATGAACTAGTAATATGTGATTAGTTAGTAATGAGCTAACTAATAAAGGCTAAATTGCTAGGGATAAGAGGATGGGAAAAAGGGTTCCAGTGTTCCAACGACCTTGTGTAGAGACTGCCGAGTTCCTATTGCCATTAACTATGGAAATAATAAATGATATAATTACTTAGAGAAAGTGGTACAAGATCAGTAATCTTTTCAGGAAAGTTACATACAGGTAGTCCTTGACTTACAACCACAATAGAGAACAGAATTTCCTTTGTTAAGCAAGGTGGTTGTTAAGTGAATTGAACCTAATTTTATCACCTTTTTTGTCACGGTTATTAAGTGAATTGCACAGTTAAATAAATCTGGCTTTTCCATTGACTTTGCTTGTCAGAAGCTGGATTGCAAATGATCATGTGACTGCAACTATGATACATTCATGCTGGCTGCCAAGTGCCTGAATTTTGATCAGATAATCATAGAGAAGTTGTGGCAGTCATAAATGCAAGGACTGGTTGTAAATCATTCCTTCGGCAAGGTTGTTAATTTGAGCAGTTGCTACATGGTGGCAAGTCAAGGACTACCTATAGGTGCTACAAATCCTCTCAAATTTGGAAATCAAAGCTCAGGGCCAAAAAGAATATTTGCATTCCAAGGACTATTTTACATAATGCATATCTACAGTTATGAAAACAGAGAAAACCATCCTTTCAGATAAGTCTTAATCTGGGTAAGAGTATTAAAGCATAAAATAATGCATAGCTGATATGGATGCACATCTGGATCTCCACCAGTTCTTCACTTCTGCTCTCCAGATGTTTGGGGATTAAAACACTCAGAACAATTTGTGCATTCAGCTTCTCAGTCCACAATTTTTGGAGCAAAATAAATACTTCTGCTTCTTGAAGCTGATAATATGTGCATATTTTCCTACAAGGAAATAATTAATAAGAAAACTCCCATGATATTGTTGTTACATGTTACAATATATATGTATGGAATATAACATATTCATTAAATAACATACAGGCGGACCAACCTGTGATTGTTGATATACTTTTTGTGTTCAACTGCTTGGACTTTCCCCCCCACTGAAATAAGATATTACCTTTACTGCTTTTTTACATCTTCAGGCAGCCATGTCTTCAAAATAAAAAGCTGACATTGGAAGAGGCCCAGGGACTTGCCCCAGGTGGAGCAGGCAAATTAACTTGGGCAATTCTATGTCTCAAGTGGATACTTTTAACTGATGTGATCATCTTGTATTCAGCTGGAGTTGTGGCAGGAAGCAACTGCTGGCTGCTTAAGATAGTCATCTAATTAGTCTGCTAATTTATTTTTCAGTAAAGTGGAAAGACAAGAGAGGGAGAGGAACAGCTGAAGCAGGCTGCATAGGCAATCAAGGTTTTTGAAGAGGGAAAGAATGTTTCAGAACAGAAGTCACGCCAAAGGGAAAGGGGCTCTAGGGATTCTCATTGGTTTGGAGCCCAAGGTAAACCACTGTTTTTGTAATTCTGGGTACAAGAAAATATGGTCTTTGCTAGCAAGAAGACTATCGACTTTCAAACTACTGTCCATCTAGCCATGCAGAGTGCATACATTCAGACAAATGTTTTGCTCTTTCTCTTTTTTTATTTAGTTCTGTGCTCTGCACTATAGTCTGAAAACTGGATGTGTTCTCTCTCCAGAAACTAGTCCCTTCCTTTGCAGGAGGAATAGAAAGAGCCCTTGGCATGATGAGAAGATAATAAAAATGGCTGACAAATTCATGCCAGCTTCCTTTCCAATTCCCCCTTTCGTAAGGCGCTTCGCCTATGCACCCAGAAGTCAAGGGAGAGAGTGATTGTTCACCTGGTCAGCCTCACCCATTAGCCTGATGAGATACATGGAATTGGGAGAACTGCCAGACATTTCCTACCACAACCCATATCCCTTCCACAAGTAATATTTGGAAATCAATTCTACTGATCCCTGGTTAATCAGTTTATGGGTTAATTCTGGGCTAATTAGCAATTCTCACTCTGCTGTGGGAAAGAAAGCAATGTTAGCCTCAGGCAAGGGACAGGAGAGAAAAACAGGTGGGGGATTAATTTATGCCAAGAAAAGCAGGCTGCTATGGAAAAAAAAATAACCCTCTTTCCTTGTACATCTAACAACGGGCGACAAAATACATCAATTGATATGCTGTTATGTAAAGTACTGCTGTTTAGCAACAATAATGGTAGGAGCAGAAATCTTCAAGGTGCCACTAGCCTTTGCTTTTGCTGCAAAAGGCAAATAGACTACAAAGAATAATTATTCAGGATAATACCAAAGGTTCAGCTAGTCCAGCTTTCTTCTTGCTCAAATGATCAAGTACTTATGGAAAGCACACAAACATAAGGGAAAGAACTACTCCTGCTGTTCTTGCTGCTTAGCAACCAGCACTGAGTGTCATCATATCTAATAGATCTTTAAAGACCCTTTCTGCACAAATTTGACCATGCTACCACAAATTTTCCAGTTCTGAAGGCAGATGTGGTTCTCAGATGTATGTGATTTCTGTGGCTATTATGAGAATTCATATGGATTTAATTTAATATGTACTTAATTCCCATCATCTGTAAGAGCTACTTTGGAGGAGGTGTGAGATCCAAAGAAAAGATGAAGAATTTTTTCTTAAACTGGCACGCTCCGGTGGACTACCAGACTAATGACCCCCAGGCACACAGTCCTTCTCTCTGAGTTCAAGGTCCTAGCAATGCTACTGTCTTCTTCAGTTGCATGCTTTTCTGAACCCCTCACGACTCCAGAAGTTCCCAAGCTCAGTCATGAGACATGGACATATTCTGATTAGCAAATCCCTTCTCATTTTACCCCCTTTTTTCCCCCTCCAGAATCTTCTGAAGGGAATGGAGGACCCTATTTACTGCTTACTCCTCCTTACCCAATTAGCTTTTTTCCCTTTAGAATAAATGCAGCAACGCCATGAACTTTTTTTGAAATACGTATTTAGACATGTATTCAGATACAATGACCACTTCTGAAATTTGGATTCCCTTGAGTGATCTTGCAACAATTGCCCCAAAAGATAAGCTGGACCTGCAAAGGAGAAAGAATTCATAGCCCCAAGAGACGTACAGTGTCCACTTAATGCCGATATTAATTTATACTATCTCTGGTAAAAAGACCAAGAATCGGACATCACAATTGAGGAATGACCATTTGAACATGTGATCAAATCATTCTGAGATTCCAAAATAAACAACTTTTCTAATGAATTAATAAAAAGCACTGTTCCTTGCACAAAGGCCATGAAAAGATTTTAAGAAAAGCTTTTTCAAAACTTTGTTAATTAAGTGAGATATTTGATAAAGGAATTTTATCACTGGCATTTAACGTGGCTTATATTAGAACTGTACCAAAAGTAGACAAGGATCATACTCAGTGTGCTAATTAGCACCCTACGTTATGATAATGATAAAAAGATTTTAATATTAGTGTCACCAAATAATTTATTTATTAACATTAAACACATTTATATGGCCACTCAACCCATGGCGACTCCGGGCAGCTTACACCATTAAAATTCTGCAATATAAAAAACGGTTAACCCTTTTCTTAACCTAATCAGAACTATAGAATGTAATGCCTAATAAAAAAGATTCAACACTTTTTTCCTCATGCTAAATTGACTTTATGGGGAAAACTTTAAAAATTGGGAAATTTTTTGATATGGAAAAATTGACTGGAAGCAAGGATACTGACTTTGGATCAATTGGTAGAGGATGAAGTTGAATTTTTTTACTCTATGCTAATATCCACCAGGTGTAACCCAATGACAAATTTACAGTTAGCAACATTGTTTAGAGCAGCAGCA